ACCTGCCGCTCCTGCACACCCACACACACACACACACTGCAGTTTTCTTCCTCCTCTTGCAACCTTCATTGCCCCTCAGTGTTGGCCTTCAGCTCTGAAGATAAGGGCTCTTGACGCTTGGCCTGCCGGGATTTAATTGCTGAAGCCCACTTCACCCTCGCAAAGCCGGGCCTTATCCACCTCTCCACCCCCGGTGCCCCTGCTGACAGAAACCTGCTTTTGTCTGCACTGTTCCCCTGCTTTTCTTTTCTTCTCCTACTCATCTTCAAAAGAAAGAAAAGCAGGATAAGAAGTGAGCCGAGGGAGAGGGGAAAATGCTTTTCTTCCCCCCCCCCACTTCTTATCGCCTCTTTAATTTTTCTTTTCAAGGGGCTGTATTTCACTCAGTGTTGCGCAAAGACGTTCCCATGCTTCTTTCTTCATTTTCTCTTTACCGGTACTGCCCCCGATGTGATTCCACGCACTCATCAGCCAACACGTTTTATTCTAATACAACCCACAAAACTTCGACTCATGCATTAAGAAAACAGAGATGCAAGAAGAATTGTTAGTTAGCAGATCTGGTCACAAAGATTTGAACGCCCAGCAAAGGGATCATTTATCCAATCCATCGTCTGTTTATAAACCCTGAGAGACTCCCTGTTATTCTCTGAATGCCAAGCTAGTGAGATAGACAAACTCACTTTTTCTAACTCAGCTGCTGCCGGTCTCAGGAATGTCTCAACAAGCGCAGGGGAGCAAAAAGGAAATTACAACTCAAGAGAGGAGGAGGAGGAAGGCAAGGAGGGAGAGGGGGGCATTCCTCCTTATGCATGATGACAAGCCTGTCTTTCTGCTGTCTCTCTCTCTCTCTCTCTCTCTCCGGGCCCTCCACCTGCACACACTTCAAAACACTAAAGCCTCACAGCCACATACTGTGGATCCAAACTGTAGTGACGCCACAATTGTACCTTATCTTACCCCCTGATAAGACCTGCACAAGTCACTCCTCTCCAGAAAGAAAGAAAACAGGAGACTATTACCTCGCAAGCTACGGTGTTATCTGTGATCTGGCAGTATTCACTGACTGAACCCCTCCCCATCCACCACAGTTTCTCCTCCGCTGGGTTATCAGATCTGCTTGGCCCAGTTTGGAATGAGGCACACTCAAATGAACACTGTGCCCCGGGGATCTACGTTAGAATCACCACGTTGAGTCTGTAAGGAAAATACTCTATTTTTATCTCGCTCTCCTCTCATGGCTGCCTTGATGTTGTATGTTCTGGCACCGAAACCCTCATAGTCGTCTCTGGCACGGATATAATGTACCAAAGTCAAGTTTCTCCATCTCCGGAAGGAATGAGATTGGATTCTTTTGGTGTTTGTTCTAAACAGGCAGCCTTTAACAAAGTATGGGTACTGCATACACACTGCATGTGCACTGCAGCCATGCTTTCTATCATCTTCATTACCGAGCTCTGTACTGAGACCTGTCTTTTCTACGCAACTCATTTTAAAACATTTTGGCTTTCTTTTAGAAATCAGGGTTCCAAATTGGTTCTTCCTGAAGGGCTGAGGTTCTACCCAGAACCATTTGCTTCTGGGTTTTCAAGGGTTCTTTGTAAGACTAAAGGTTCCATTAAGAACCCTTTTTTTAAAAAGCACAGGTGTTAAAAAGGAATGCCCACAACCCCAGAAACCATGATTGTGGTCTATGATTGTTGTGGGCTGCCTTGCACCACATCGACCCTGGTCCTTTAGAAGCATCATGAGGAACCCTGGGTGGGTTCTAGATGAAACCCTTGGAATATGAGAAGACTCCAGGTAAAAACCCCTGGGAGGGTTCTTATTGCGCTTAGAAGGTAGAAAGGTTCCGGATAGAACCTCCAGTGAGGGTTCTGGGTGGGACAACACACCACAGAGGGGTTTTCCGTAGAGGTTCTGGGTAAAACAGATTCCTCTAAGAACCAAAACAAAAGCCGAAGAACCCTATATGGCTCTAGCAAGTACCTTTTATTGAGAGTGGAAGAACACGTTATTAATGATTACCACAGTTAAAATGTTCTTACCTTGGCCACTGAGGCATGACTCAAAACATCTTTAAAATTCTGTAGATGTAACTACCGTTGAAGTGAATTTCTCCGTGTGTGTAAATTATGGGATAGCTGCAACCCTTTACCTCCGCTGCCCATTCAGCTGTAGCCGACAGCAAGCTGTGGCCGTCAGATGTTATTGGTTTTTTTCTGGACAAGACTTTCCATAAACAATTAGCGGGTCCAACTTTTCTGCATGACTGCCAAAGGTCCGGTAGTTTTTCAGTGCCGTCAGTAGGCGCTGACTCTGGAAAGTAGTTAGCTGCTTTGTTAAATCAAGCCTCGAGGCTCGAGTAGGGTCATGTTATTGACGCCTGGCTGCACAGAATGACATGTCTGCCCTGTCTGAAAGAGTTATCTGAATAATAAGAGTGAGGTGTTGGCAGTGGGTTTCAGGGGAATGCCATGACTACCTTTAGTTTATACACTGGAGAAAGAAAAATAAGACATCAGGGAATCTTTCCAAGGAGGAGCAGAAAGAAAAGTATGCTGAAGGAGCAGGAAAATACATGCCATAGCTGTGGTGTGAGGAGATGATACCCTTCCGTCGCCTCAACCCCCTCAAAAAAAAAACCTTCATCTCCTCTCCAAGTTCTGACATTTGAGGCAGTGATGTTTTTGGGAAAGAAAATGTCTCATTAAACAGACTGAGTGACAGGAAATTAATTGTAAAAAGGATACATTATTTAAGTTGGCAGCAGCTCTGAAGCTACTGTAACACACGTAGATAAGTAGAGTTTTCTCTATTAACAGGGGACAGACTAAGCAGGCATTGATGCCAATAGTTAAATGAAACACAACTACATACATTTTGAAATAAATAAGATTTGCATATAGGAAAGACAATTAGACAGAGGGACAAAAATATGTGCATTTATTTCCAACATGTATGAACACACTCACAAACAAACAAGAACTGTATTTCTACAGCCTGGTTCAATGTTTGTATATCTAATAGATGCAAGAGTGCAAATTATATATATGTGAATGCTGTAACTTTAACGGAAAAGAACACGAAATGAGGAACATGAAATGTCTGAAACAATTTCTTTGACATATCTTGTGTAATGGGTCATAACCCCTAGGTAAAGCGGTGCAAGAACAGCATGTTCCCTGAGCAAAACTGTAAGTCACACATACTTGGCTTTTCATTCAGGTATTTGTGCAGTAAAGACATCAACAATCGCACCATTCAAAGGCCTAGGGCATAAGCTCCCTCAAGCATTCAAGTCGAAAAACATACAGTGGGGGCGTCATAAATGTTCAAAATGTTTGGAGACAACTTTTTACTCCCCTTGCCTCCAATCAATAAACAGATTATGACATTAACTAATGAGATTATGACATTAACTAAAGTAATAACAGGACACCAGGGGAATATTGGGTGTATTTGGGTGCCTCTGGTTCAGGATTACGGACAAAGAAGTGCTTTCTATTGACTCCCTGAAAAGTATGAAAAAGAGACGAGACAAAACAGCGGTCTGAAGAAGAGAAATGGTTAACAGATAGACATGTTGCCTCTTTCCCCCAAGGCCATCTCATTAGATAGCAGAAGATGATAAACTGCCATGCAGACTCTTGTCAGCAACTATTTTCTTCTTTATCTCCCCTCATTCCCCTGTCCTTTCCATCATCCCCTCCCTCCTTTTCGAATACTGAGTTGTTGACGCTCTATTAGGGCGTTTGTTTTGGAAGGCTCGGGTTCAGGTGAAATGGGCTTAAATCACAGTAACATACATCCTGATGATCGACAGTACTCTTTTCGGTTTCTGTGCATTTCATCCAGAATTAGAGAAGCTTGTCTGGCAAGCAGCAGCACCGGCCGTCAGTCTACGTAATGACAACATAAAAAGCGTGTTATTTATATGGCGTCTATGGTTAGAGAAGCAGCTTCGGCGTATCGGTGAAGCGACTCTCCGAGTTTAGAACGCCACAAAGTAAATCATCCACAGATGCGTGGCCACATGCAGCACGTCATACATACAGCCAAACAAAGTTGACACGGTATGGATGTATGAAACGGGAGAGAAAAGAGCAGTGTTTACGGTGAATCATTGAGAGGGCGTGTGCTTTTCACTGTTTCAGTGGCTCTGGAGGGACAGAAAAATGCTCAGAGCCACTCTGTTTTCACTTTGATATCTCAGAAACGAAGCATGTTGGATTTGTTCGTTGCTGCTCTGTGCCTTTTTGTTTCATAGGCTATGAAGTCTGTCATAGACATAGGGAGAACGGTTCACTGTGAGCCCACTACAACCACAGTGTGTGCAGTAAATAGCAGTGGGTGGGCGGCTTACAAATATACATTTTTTTATTTAGCTCCAACACATATTGTCATATATATGCATGTGTGGCTGTGGTCGTGCAAACACGCCTAGAAATCTGTAGGATCATTAGAAACAACAGTTTTGGCATGACACAATACTATCTATTACACAGATTATTCCAGGAAGAATCTGGCACTCCTTTAGCCAGAAAAGCGTGGCAAGATGCCACTATGTCAACTTTTCCCAGAATTTAGTAGAAAACTCCCTGGGACGCCTGATGTCCCGGCTACAGCCCTATTGTTTGAGAGACCTTGTGACAAAAGACTGACTTTGATCACTGGCTATGCAGAGTTAAAGCTTTGATAGTAATCTCACTCTTTGAAACGCATTAAAAGCCACAAAGTGAATCAATAGCTGACCTAATATTGTTTTACAAACTATAGACTATAGGGAGAACATTTAGATTGTAAAAGAAGTTCAACATTATGCTGCATCTGTTCCACATTGCTTTGTCTAACAGCTGAATGCTCCTAAACTCAAACGTGACCCGAGCAATATAATGTTTACTACTGTTGTGTCCTGTTTATAATCTGTCAGCATTTACTATATATTTCTCTGGATGATTGTGCAGGTAATTGACAGATTATGTGCTCTCTTGTTATAGGCTGAGCATGGAGAGAGAAAGAGTCTGCACCATGAAGATCTTCCTCACTCCACTGATGCCCTTTCTACTCTTCCTCATTATTCCTGATGGCACCTGGTCCAGTGACTGCCCAGAGGACTGCGCCTGTTCCACGCCAGACTCCATCTTGTGTTTCCAGAGACGCTCCTCTACCATTCCCAAGGAAGTAGACCCATCCACAAAAAGTCTCTACCTCTTTGCCAATGGCATTGAGGGCTTGACAACTGAGGACTTTGATGGCCTGGAAAACCTGGAGATGCTGGACCTCAGTCAGAACAAATTGACTGAACTTGCTGATAGGGTGTTTGAACCTTTGACCTCTTTGAGAAACCTGGACCTGTCATCCAACCAGATCACCCACATTTCAGAGGAATGCTTCCAGGGTATGGTACTGCTTGAGCGCCTTTATTTGTATGGTAATCATATCGAGACCATCCACCATGATGCCTTTAATGGCTTGGAGTACCTTCTGGAACTCAAACTGCAGGGCAACCAGCTGACATCCCTGCCTGCTCTCTCAATGCCACGACTACTGCTGCTGGACCTTCGTTTTAATGTCTTACCCACCTTGGGTCCTTCAGATCTCCAGACCCCAAACCTTGAGTCGCTGAAATTGGGTGGTGTGGGGCTCATCAGCCTGAATAAGGAGCTCATACGTAGTCTAAAGAACCTCCACGAACTGGACATCTCAGGAAACCAACTTGAGTCCTTTCCCTCAGCGCTAAAGGAGACCCACCTGATTCACCTCAACCTGGCTGGGAACCCGATGGGCCCTCTTAAGGTTCAGGACCTGCAGAACCTTGGAGAGCTGCAGACTTTGGACATTAGCAGCCTCAGTTTGCAGGGCCTTCCTGATGAGTTCACTCATCTCTTACCCCACCTGAGAAAGCTAACAGTTGCAGAAAACCCCTTCAACTGTCTCTGTACCTTAGCATGGTTCCCAAGATGGCTAAGAGCCCAGAGCATCACCCTGGACAGAACAGAGGAGACCCGCTGCCATTTCCCACCTATCAATGCTGGAAAGGTATTGGAAAGACTGGAGCACAGGGATTTTGGCTGTCCTACTACAACTACAGTCACCACTAGTACAGTCAAAACTACCACTACCCTGCCTGTTCCTGTCACTACCTTCCCGATTACCACTAGAGCTATTTTAGTCCCCAGGGCCAGTGACAACCCCACAGACAAAGATGACTCTCCCTTGCCCCCTGTCCCTGCATCCCCCAGTAGCAGCAGTATGGACCCAGGCGAGGAGCAGCATTTCTGTCCCCCTCACACCTGTCTGAATGGGGGTACTTGTCGGTTGGACCAGCATGGTCAGGTAGAATGTACCTGTCCACATGGCACCTCTGGCATGTATTGTGAATTCCAAAACCATCACCCGCCTTCACCACCGGAAGCTGACGTCCCCATGGCAACTGTCAGTGTGGATGCACCAGACATCAGCTCACATCAAGCAACCACAACCTCAATCCTGCTGGACCTCCACCGCTACATTGAAATGCGGCCTCACATCCGTGGAATCCGCCTAACCTATCGTAATCTCTCTGGGCCAGACCGCAGGCCGATTCAACTCAGCCTGCCGGCATCCTTCCCAGAGTACATACTCAGAGGCCTGCAGCCCAACTCCACATACACGGTGTGTGCCAGTCCTTTAGGTACCCCTAGTGGCACGGACAGTGTCTGCACTGAAGCCCGTACGGTTGCTGAAAGTGTCAGCAACCGTCGTCAACAGATTGACGACCAGAGGCTGACAACTATGCTGGTGCCTGCAATTGCCATCTTGCTACTGCTGGTACTCATAGCAATAGCAGTGGGAGTGGTATGCTATCTTCGCAAGAAAAGGGCCAAGGGCCACCTGGAGCTAGACTGTGAGCCCTCCCAGCTAGAGTTGGATGGAGTGAAGGCTGGTTTGGACATCGGGGCATTGCCTCAGAAACAGCCCCAACCCATGGCCCCTGAACCTGCTGTTCAGAATGGCAACTTGGAGTATGAGGTGTTGCTACTACAGGATCACTGTACATCAAATAACAATATGACTTCACACAAGCCCTCCTACTTTTGACACCTGGCTTCGACTAATCAGACCTAAAGGAGGATTTTTTTTATTCTTCATCTCTGTTTTCCACACTGGTGAAATACAGAGAGCAGCAAATGCAGTTGTGAAAGTGGAGGACACAGTATCGACCAGGCAAACATAAAAGGAGAAACTGGACATATATTTAACTCAATGCCCTCGGGTTGTCTTAAGTAGACTTTAAACATGTTCAAAAACCTTGGTTTGGACTTCAAAAAGCATTGTTCTGCTTCAATAATATTGCCTCACTCACATTGCCGGAATGGCAACCTCTCAGCTCCCATGCTGTGATGCTGGGACTGATGCTGTGTTGTGATTGGCTGAGACCTAGGGTTAAGGGTCATGGCGACCTCAGGCCCTCCTTTATCTGTTCAGAAAGGAGAGTGCACTGAAATGGGGTTGTGTTGCCCTTTCCCCGTCACGACAGCCCAACTAAACACTATATCAGCAATTGTTGTTGCTGCATGTTGTAACTCCTCAGCACTACCCCAAAGGGATCGGTGCTTGCTGTGAATGACCTTTAAGACACCAAATGAAGTTATGCAGAGAAAATAGCTGATGCTTGTATTCTTTATTTGGCTTTAAACTATTTTTGTTTTTGTATGTATGTTTTTTTATACCTGTGTCTTTGTTATTTTGTATTGTGCAACATTATGACTGTTAACAGCCCTCTATAGTCTCCCCCCCCCACACACACACACACTTCTTGTGACTAACAGACAAAACAGCAGATTAAAATCTTTGAAGATTAAAACTCGTTTGGTACCAGCAAAGTCAATCAAAGGGCTTTACCCCCAGAATGTCAGACAGGCTAAGTAGATGTGAGTCTGGACAGACTCTAGACTAAATCCCCCTTCTCGATTCTGAAGCCCTCAGTCTGCTTTGCCACCACAAAGGGAGAAGGTAAGCGGGATTACAAAAGGTACAGAGGGAAGCAGTTGAATGAACCCCTTCTGTTTGGTTGCTGCACTAAACTCCATACAGTTTGTAGCTTGCCTTAATTACAGTAAGCACTCAAATCACTATACAGCAAAAGAACTTTAGAGACTTTATTTATTATATATTTACTGCAAGGGGAAACTCAGTTTTATCCCGGAACTACAATTCATGTACATCATGCTACTTGGCCTGGCCCACAACAAGCAAAGCAAATAGTGGTTGAGTATTGTGTTTCCCTTGAGTAAGTGAGTTTCGCTCACTTACACCTAACAAGACTATGTCCATGAGAGGTGCAGACTTCTTTACAATGTTGTGTAGAGGACAATGAGACTTGCAAAGAGGGAGATCTACAGGAAGGTTATTATGCAGACACAGAGTGCTGAGATCCAAATCTGTGAATATCGGGCAAAGAAGGACTCAAAGTAACTATTTGTGTGTGTGTGTGTGTGTGTGTGTGTGTGTGTGTGTGTGTGTGTGTGTGTGTGTGTGTGAGAATGAATGCGTGTAGATCTGTCAACTTCAGTGATAATGCAAGTACGTGTTCCGTCTTGTGCAAAGACCTGCAGACATCGAGTTACTATCAGTTACCCTCTCTATCTGCCCGCATGTCAAAGAGTACTTTAAGCCCCAAACAACTCTACCTATAAGCAAACACACCAAAGACACATCTGTGAATGTCAGTAACGTTACCTACCTACAGTATTCCCAGTGCACAATTAACAGTTCCCTGCCAACATGTCTTTATAACACACACAAACAAATGCAACTGGAATAATTGTTTGTCAAATAGAATACATTGAAGATAACAAATTATTTTCGATGTGATTGTTCATTTTTCCCCTGTTTATTTTGGGAAGCTCTTTGTTGTCATTCATTCTTTTTTTTTAAAATTTTGTGAACTTATTTGTACAAGTGGAAAGAGCGATATTATCATTAAATGAATATCCAAAAATAAAAAGGGTTAAGTTGTCTTTTTTTGTAGTTTCCACCTTTTTGCTTGTAAGAGGAAGGATTAGATTGACAGGCAACAGATGGGATTATGTTTGTCATTAACTTCCCTTTCCTTTTAAGCCATCACTCAACGGCGCGAGGGGAGAGATCACAGGAGGGGGGAGTCCAAGAAAGAGAGAAGGGAACAAAAGGTACAAAGTGTAGGTGTAATTATGCTGGATCTCAACCACACATAAGTCAGTCTGTGTGTGCGTCTGTGTGTACATGTGCTTGTGTATTTGTGCTTAGTACATTTCAATAGTGGTACAGTGCCAAACATCAACATGGACATTCATGCGAGTGTATGTCAGACTCCCTCTTTAATGTCTGTTTTGTTATTGCGCTGTACAGAGTCTACAGACTGGTTGTTCTTTCAGCTAAATGATGTCAGCATGCCAACATGCTCACAATGCCAACATGCTGATGTTAATCAGGTATAATGTTTACACAGGCGGCAACTTCTGATCAGTGCCTTAAACTGGCATTCTTACGAATGAACAGCAGGGGTTGTGAAGTCTATGAAAAAATTACTACTTCTCACTTCATTTTATTACCTCAGTTAACATTCTAAACATGTTTATAGTCTCAATCAGTAGATTAAAGTCCCCTTCAATACAACGTGATGTTCATTTCGTAAAACATGGTACCATTTAGAGTAAAATAGACCATAACGCAGGGTATGCTTTAGGGCACAGCTACCTTGTGATTGACAGTTTGAAACCACTCTGTTGTCCTTGTTTTCGTCTTAAAACCTGAACCCCACCCTCTCCTGTCACTACTTACTGCAAAAAAAAACACGATGACATCAGCCAAAATCCAAGATGGCGAGGGACAAAATGTCGAATTCGAAGCTTCAAGACGGCAGCCAACAAACCAATGGGTGACGTCACAGTGACCACGTCCACTTCTTTTATCCAGTCTATGCATGCACACCATCATAATATAGCATGTTAGCATGTTGATGGATGCTAATTAGCAATAAACACAAAGTACAGCTGAAGGGGAGAATGTCATCAGTTCTTTAGTTATTTGGCCATAAACTAAAAAACCATGCCGCTAGCATGGGTAAATATTGTTAAAATCATCCATCCCCAATTTCCAAGGTGATTAATAATGAATGTGTAAGTATTTGATTCTCTTTGCTACATTCAACAGTGCACCACCATCCTAAAGACTGCAATGTGTGCTTTCAATGGACAATAGGAATTCTTCCATGCCAGCAGTGAGCTGAAGGCAAAATGGAAATAAAGATTATGATTGAAAACACTTGTTAAGGTTGTAGTTATATTTAACCATTGAAAATGACTCAGTGGTCTCAGCCTAATAAGTGAGCATTGTTTGCAAACCCGCCCAATAAATAGGCTGACCACCCATGCGTTTTGTAGGAAGGATGCTGGGTAGGGGATTGATGCTGCATGCACGCACGTACACCCACAAACAAACAAACGCATGCATGTACTGGCCTATAGCTGGGAGCTGTTGTGCAAGGTCCCATGTTTACAACACAAACCCATAAAACAGCACCACTCCTGGCATGGAGGCCCTATTATAATCAACTTGCTCAGAGAGAGCAAACTTCCTAGTGACATAAAAAGGAGAAACCTCCTGGGGGGGTCAATACGTTTAAACGTCTTTGTCCTTCCTCCACTGTTTTAAAGGAACAGCGTGTAGCATTTGGTGGATCGATTTGGCCGAAATATAATATAATATTATCAAGTATGTTTCCTTTAGTGTACAATCGCCTGGAAATAAGATTCGCTGTGTATCCGTTACCTTAGAATGAGCCGTTTGTATACACATACGCTCTAGAAAGGGCCTGGAGAAGTTTCAGTTGGTTACAATATGCAACCTTACTGCTACATGTCGCCAGATCCTACACACTAGACCTTGAACCTTGATGCGTCCTGAACTTTTAAAATAATAAAAACATATTTGTTTAAGTTGTAAAGGAATGATTCCCGTTTCAGCCTCTCATCTGAATAAAATGGAAGGAGTCCGTCTGTATGTATGTATGTCCTTCAAGTCTCCGACAACTGTTCAACTGATCTATACGTAAATAATGGATACACTGGGTGGACTCCATGTAAAAGGACTGATAGGATACGTAGATGACGTCAGATAATAATAATAATACCTGCAGCTGAAAGAATGCATCCATGTCTCTTGTCTTTCTCTCTGGACAGGCATCTGCAAATGGTCATGTATGTAAATAAGAAAAGGAGAACAGAGCGTGTGTGTGTGTGTGTGTGTGTGTGTGTGTGTGTCTGTTTCTCTCCTTTCCTTCCATAAAACAGTCCCTCTTTTCTTTCCCTGGCTTTAAGAGAAACCTGGTCCCTGGATGAGGTCCAACTTTTACACTCGCACTCAGCCTGCGCTGCTCAAAGCCCCTATTGTAGTTTCAAGGGACTTTTTTTCACAATCATCAACCCCCCCCCAAAAAAATTCCACACGGAATTATTTCTAAGTAAATATTTTTTCACTCCCCTCCTTTCTGTCTCTCTCTCTTACTCTCTATTTTTAAGTTTCTCAACTTCAGAGCGGCTAGAATGCAGCCAAGGACAATGTGTTAAAGCAGCAGGTGATGTGGGTGCAAGTAGCTTTTGTATTTGCTCTGCATTTCCCAATATCTTATTCAAATGACTTTGTTTTTTTTCTGCCTCTCTGTTTTCCCATCTTCCAAATATCCCTCCGGCCCTTTCAGCACAGCTGACCCCCCAGTAACCTCAAGCCATCTCTCCAAAATCAGCCAAGAATATTTACAGTCAGCAGTTGGGAGCATGAAATAAACTCTTCGAAAATCACAAGATGAAGTATTGAAGTGGTCATAAACTACAAAAAAAAAGAGAAGAAAAAGAAGTTTCAAAATTCCTCCCAACACAAATAATAATTTGAAATCTCAAGCTTTTATTCTCTTATTCAGTTACTGTGATGTTGCTACGTGCTAACCAACAAGCGCCGGGGAGTTTAAAAGAGGGAATTGAAGCAACAGAGAGTAGAAGAGTAGAGACGGAAAAGAAGAGCTGAGCAGAGAAAACACACCACCACTTTGTTTTTGGAACCTGGTTTCTCTGGCTCCAGTTCTTTGGCCCTCTGCTTGTTTCCCTATACAGCACTCACTCCAACTCTCCTGCCCCACATCCCACCTTCCCTCCCTCTACATCTTTCTGAAGCACTAATAACAGTCCTGTCATGCATACAGGCTGCCAGTCCGTGCCAGCAGATGGCCCAGATGCTGCTCTGACAAAAAGCAGTGTGCAGAAAGCGGAGAAGTGAGGGAGAAAGAAAAACAGGAAAAAAAAGAAGTAAAAAGGAAGAATTTGAATTTGGTTAGTTCTTGGCGCCGTACGTTAGCAGGCACACATGCAATTCATTTCAAGTGCTGTTTAATAGATTAGTAGATATAAAAACAAACTGCAGTGTGATTTCACTAGTGCAAATATTTTCTTCCATCCCAGGCTTGTCATTTGTGTCTTTTTCACTCATTGTCTCCGCCCCTCAGTAGAATATCGACTGACCCGCCTCATTATCATTTCATACTGGAATCGGACGATGTAAGCTGGCAGGTAATTAATGTATAATCGGAGCGAATCAGGGTCATACATTAGTGTGAATATGGCTCTATGCAGGGCCGGCCTTTGGCCTAAGCAAAATACAGTATAGGCAACTGCCTTGGGCCACGTTCAATCGAGGGAGGCGCTGATATGTGCATTTGGTTGCGTTCCTGAGGCTGCATCCAAGAATGAGGATATCAGTTTAGAGTTTAACAACCGCTGTAGAGCAACCTGGTCCCAACTCAAGATCAAAAAACTTCATCCTAAAGACTGTTCTGTCTCTTCATCTTGCAGTTTCACTTGTCTGTGGAGAACAGTGCAGTGTTCTCTCTACTGTAAAACGACTGTTTGTGTCTTCATACTCACTGACCCCTTCATCCACATTTTACTGAACCTGCTGTAAATTAAAAGTATTTTAGGACCCCAAAGACAAATATGATTTAGTGCCACAAAAAGGCTTAGTGTGTTACTGTATGTTTATAGAAGTAGAAAGAAAGCCGAGCTTCACAAGCACACGGTGTTGAAAGACTCAATGCAAAATATAAACATCAAATGGGGAAACTTGAAATGGAGAGCGATTATCCAGCCAATGCTGTAAGATAAGAAGGAGAGGATGGAAAGAATTAGACGAAATTAAAGAGGTGGAGCGATGATGAAGTGCGAGAGGAGAGGGAGGTGGAGGGACGCCGTTACTGGCTGAGTCCAAGCGGGGCCACATTGGCTTACCCGTCTTTGGAAATGGGTAGTGGAGATGTTGAGTGAGTTTGTTTGTGTGTGTGTGTGTGTGTGTGTGTGTGTGTGTGTGTGTGTGTGTGT